ATGGAGCACCCCTAAATGCCATCAAACCATATGGAATTATGGAATAAAAACCTTTTACCCAAAAGACTGTCCCTTGTTGTCCACTTTCATTAAGATAAAGCTTCAAATTACTGGACACATCGTTCTTTGGCAGAAATGTAGGGTACTGTCACATACCGTTTTAGGTGAAGCCAAGAGTACAACTCACGAGGCCACCAGCTACGTGGATACCAGGACACCAGACAATAGAATTCCCCTCCAACAGCTACAAGCATTAAGAACCTTGGCTATTTACCAAGGAAAGTGGAAGGAACATTGGTTAAAAAAAAAAAATCCACTCCTTGTGAATGGAAGATCCTTAGAAATCCTAGACAGTCAATTATTAAATCTAGTCATGGGAACATGACATTTTCCCTGGCAAACTCTGTAAAGCAAGTTCAAGAGCAGCACGCCAAGCATGATGGAGAAGCCCCTTCCCCAAGCCCCAAGTCCAATCGCTTGAACATGTGGTCACGAAGCTGCTCATACGTTCTGTATGTTTATAAAGTCCTAACTGTGCCTGTAGACACTCGGTCTTCCACAGTCTCCCCCTCTCTACTGCACCTTCGCCAAGGTCTGAGCCCACACCTTCGTCGTCACTGTGCCCTCAAGTCCCAGCATGGCACAAACATTTCAGGAAGGTTCTTTAACATGCAAAAGGGGGACCCTCTGGGAATCTAAACATTGGGAGAGTCTGGAGATCTACCTACAAATGAAACAAGACTTCAGACCCAAGCTGAAACCAAGGAACAGAGGCTTACTACCTGTTTTCCGAGATTAAATTTTTTAAAGTCTTTATTTTAAACATCTGCTTGCAGCCTTCAGTCAGAGTTTGGGTGGGTCTGGCTTTTATCTGCTTGCATCTGCCCATCCTTTTCCCACAGTGTTCTGGAAGAAAGCTGACGGCGGCGGTGACTCATGGCTCGGCACACTTCTTAGTTCCTGTGAGCCGACACCAAACTGTGTTCCAACAGGGAGGCATTTACTAAGGATCAAGACCTGGATGTCCCTGGTCTGCGGAAGTAGGTCACACTAAAGGGCTTCCAGCAAGGTACCAAATTAACTGCACTCAGTACCAGAGGGTTAATGACTAATAACTGGAGACAAGATTGTAAGTCGAGATTGCCTCCGTTCTCAATCCATGCCCCTTCAGAAGTCTTCTCTGGGCCTTTGCCCACCTCCATATTTCTCTCTTACCTCTCTGGCTCCAGTTTTCAGGGTCATAGGCATTAAAGCTGAGTTGATAGGGTGGCCACACTGTGAGAGTTAGTCCTTTCTGGCTTCCTTTCTTACTGGGGGCTCAAGGACTCCTCTAGTCATACAGGGGAGCTATGACATAGAAAATACACAAAGCCTGGTGAGAAGAGACACAGATGGAATTGGTAACAAGAAATGACAAGGAGACCCTAGGCCATTGGTTGCTCTCAGCTTCTCCCCATTAAGACCAGATTCAAGCTGAAAGTGAAGAAGAGACTGAGGTTCTGAGAGCTTTGGTGGTTAACCCAAGGGCTTACCACAGCCAGAGGTACCTGCTGGTTTTCTCTCCTCTCTCTCTCCCTCCCTTTCCTCTCTCTCTCTCTCTCTCTCTCTCTCTCTCTCTCTCTCTCTCTC